CAAAATATGACACGGAAATGGTGCATCAACTATTTCCACTATTATTTCAGATCCCAAGAGATGAAGCACAGCAACGCATTAAACCGGTGTTGCTAAAATACTTATGATGTTATAGAACACATGGGAATGATAGTTTCCTGAAAACAGTTACTGGCATTAAATAACTGAAAAAACACATTAATATTTTTTATTTTCCATGTGCTTGCTTAGGTTGGTCTGCTGAGTGGCATTTGTCTCATTGTGGGGACTATGATTGGCTCAGGCATTTTCATTTCCCCAAAGTCTGTTTTGCTGTACTCGGGAGCTGTGGGACCTTGCCTCCTAATCTGGACTGCTTGCGGCGTGTTATCTACTCTTGGTGAGACCAACATTTTAACTCATATTTCATTGTATTCAGCAACCAGTTATGTTGCTATATCAGGAATCTAATATTCTTTTCAAGTCATGTAGGCAAATAACGATGGTCAAAATAGGAACAAGCTCACACAGTATCACCTTTTGTTTTCTGCCAGGAATATAATTTTTCATTGTGGGAAGTGCTTTTACTGGCTGTTGAAGTCAAAATCATTATTGTGAGGATTTTTAGTGCACATTAGTCTTCAGATTAATTTCTTCTGTATCACACAAAGCTCACAGATACAAAGGAGATGTTCCCGAAAAGTGTAAAGAACATCGTTGTTTTATCACTCAGACACTGTGAACTGTTTGATGTGAGAAAACAAATGGGGAAAAAATAACAAAAGATGTCTGATCTAAGTCAGTTAAATTTTTGTTTTGTACTATTTATACTAGCACACACTATTTAGTATGGTTTTAGTTTGTATTTCAGTTATGTTGTATTTAGATTTTGATTATTGTAGTTGTTTGACAGAGCTTTATATAAAATGGGTTCCATCTAATCTGTTATATGGATCTGAAGATATACTTTCTGGTCAACCTAACTTGAAAGCCCAGAAATTGGGTGGCACACTGGTGAAGTGTGTGTGTGTGTGTATCTATATATCTATATCTATCTAT